TTGAAATGCGTTGTAAATTCGTTTCATATTATTTCTTACACCAATGGCATGAGCATTACAATTATTTAGTTAATACATTCAATATGTCATTCTACTCACGAACCAGGTGAAGTACAATACTGATAATAATAATAATAATAATAAACCTGGATTCATACACCGCTTAATCCGAAAAATTGTCTCCGTAAGCGCTTTACAGATGCTATTATTTTCTAGGTCATCGGATCCATTCATACACACAATCTGCATCATCTTCATTCCCTGAGGAGTATTCCAACAATAAGGGTCACCGTGACGGCATAATTAAAGTAATTACTATCACAAAAGCTTTCATCATCCTATCAAAAGTACATGGTTACCTTGTCAGAAGAAATTCCTAATGCATTGCAGTCTGTATAGCTTTAACAAATCCAGGTTATATAGGGGCGCCGAATTATGAGCGCCATAAAGGAAACATTATGCTCATAGATGAATGAGTTATAAACCCAATTAGATACATCATAATAGAAGGGCTCTTCATTCATCATATAAGAAAACGCGAGAACCTCGTAACATTTACATCATTTTGTTTGGCCACATACATTAAATCAAAGGAGGTAATATAAAGATACCACATTCACAAGACCTTTAAAGGTACTATGTCCCATTTGCAGGCCAACAAAGTGGAAAGGTTAAATTCCAACGGCATTTGAAAGAAAATACTAATTTGGAACTTCCCTAAAAAAAAAAAGGGGGGGGGGCTTGAAAATGTCTTTAAGTGGGAAAATAGCGACTATTAGTTGTCGAATCGACTTAAGAGCTATAGAGCCAGTAAGTAATTTTCTGATTTTCAGACCATTGTACTGAATAGTCGTACGTTTTATGCTGCGCAAAGATTCAATCAGTTAGTGTCTGACAGTGAAGTCTAGCAAGTTAACGGATTTCCTTGCATAATTTGAATATTAGGACACTGCTAACGTTTAAATTTCACAGATAGGACATACATGACATATTCATAAGTCTTGCAAAGTTCTACAGAATTTGATGTTGGCTGCCTGCAAAAGGGACATAGTATCTTTAACACTTAAATTGTGCTTGTGCCCACAACGAGTGCGCTCTTTAAATCTAAAATATATTGATTAATATACCAACAGCCCTTTTTATTTACCACTTGTTCTCACCCGACCACAGCCGCATGAAATATTAAAAAAAAAAAAAAAATCATTTCAACACCATGCATATCCGATTGCACTGTTAAAAATGACATTCTTAAATTCCAATAATGTGAACAATTGGAAGTGACATAATCGTAATCAAGCTGATGGAAACTTTGTTTAGTTAAAGCTTATTCCTGACAAGAGAAGCGAAGATACTAGTTTTTTTCTTCAGCAGAGATCCTGGTGTTCCCACCTCTGCGACGTGTCCTTCGGAGAGTACAACAATCTGATCTGAATCCAGGATAGTTGACACACGATGCTGTTATACAATTTACAAAAGAGACATATAACCTGGTTAACGTACATTGAATAACAAAGTAGACGTTAAAGATTTAAAAAAAAAAAACATTTCTACCCTATACTGTTCTTTTTTTTCCCTTTCTTTTCTGTATATTTTTTTCTTCTCCTTCCAGCTACCCCATACTTCTCCTAATTTTCTTTATCTTTTTCTTTTTCTCTTCATTTTCGTATTCTTCTCCTCCTCCTCCTTCTTCTTCCCCCTCTTCTTCTTCAGCTTCTTCTTCTTCAGCTTCTTCCTCTCCTTCTTCTTCTACTCCATCTTCTCCTCCTCCTTTTCCTTCTCCTCCTTCTTCTTCTTTTTCTCCTCCTTAATCTTTTTCTTTTTTCTTACTACATCTTCTTCTTCTTCTTCTTTTTGTCCTTTTCTTCATCTTTCTCTTCTTCTATTAAAATTTCTTTCTTTGTCACTAAAGGTGAGACGTCACCAATTGGGAGTCCATTTATTGATGATGTACATAGATATGTTATTTAAATTATAAACCGATGAGTAATGTTATAGAACAGGTTTTAGAATAAAAGTCTCAAATTAATTAATTATGATCGTCGACGAATATCGTTGAATAAAGATACTTGTGTTACAGATCTTTTGATTTTTAAAAACTTACCGCAATCGTGATGACGGTTTCCTTATGGAAAGCAGTTGCGACGACTTCCTGTAGAATAGCATCCTGTGAATAAATATGGAATAAACATTGAATTGTTTCTACTGTCAAAGCAAAACACAACATATATTAAATGGATTGAAGAATAGGCACTTATAACGTAAATAAAGATGTAATGCCTTTTCATAGAACATTATCCCTTTGGAATATAGAAAATGTTTAACACGAAGGAAATCATTAAGGTTAGCAAGATAAGTTGATTAAAAAAGAAAGAGAAAAATAATGTCTAATGGAAAGTCATAACGATGGCAACATCAAGAAAACGTAAAAGTGGACTGCGGGGAATTAATAAAACAAATAAATTTACCGTGTGGACATCAATGGAGGCCGTTGCTTCATCCATTATCAAAATGCGAGTTTTTTTTAGTATAGCCCGAGCAAGGCAGAAGAGTTGTCTTTCACCCACACTGAAGTTATCTCCTCCTTCGTGTACCATCGAGTCTAGAGATTTGAATTCCCAGTTTAGCAAAAGGCAAAATAAAAAAACATGTTAGTTGTAGCAAAATAATCACATGCAAACTATTGTAGACATCCTTTCATAAAAGCCATGTTTCATAAAATGTAGCTCATAATTTCAAATCACTTCCTGTATACAGAGGAAATGTTGGTTTTTTATTTCATTTTTTGATACTTTTCAAAATCGAATTAAAGTTAATGCACCTTGATCATTTATAATTTTGTAAGAAGAAAATGAACCTACCGAGATTGTTTGGAAGATCTCTCACAAGCTCCTTGAGTTGGGCAACTTCCAATGCTTCCCATATCTCAGCATCTGATCGCCTTTCCTCAGGGTCCAAGTTGAATCTTCATTAGTCAGATAGAAGAATGATCAAGAGAATAAAGGCCGTAAGAATGGATGGAACTTCAGGAATTCATTTTTTTTTTGGTGGTGGGATGATTATTGAATCGAGTTTTTAATTCTGATGAATACCATTGCAGGCCATGGAGTGCGCCACGGTATAATACTTGGTACATTGTGGAAAAGTGCAACTGAATAACGAGCTACTTATATCTCAGTCACACTAACAAACCGACTCCAAACCGACTCCAAACCGACTGATTCTTAGCCATTCCGGATAACATGTTATTTGTTTCGGTTATCTGTTGGTCTGGTATTGGTCTCGTGGATGTGAGTGGAGAATCCATTTTATTATGATGACATGACCTGAAAGTGAAGTTAAAATGAAACTTTAATATATGATATTGATACATGATTGTCAAACCTGATTTTTGTCTACAAAGAGATATGTTATACTGACTACGAAATTTGATCTGTGAATATATCAACTGACCTAACTGTTCCTGTGAACATGAAAGGGTCTTGAGGTATGATGGCAAGACGACTTCGCAAATCGACGAGAGACAGCTTCCCGATATCGATCCCATCGATGTGAATAGATCCTGGAGATTAATAAACATCATAATCAACATATAATTTTTTTCTTCTTTTTGAATTTGAATTTATTAACAACAAAAACAACATAACACAATGTTACACAATGTATTCAAGTGGGTAACAAAAATAACATGTCGTATACATATCCATGTACATGGGTTTCAAAGAAAAAGAAAATATCCATAGTTGAACCATACAAAATTAAGTTAATCATATATCATGTCATATCAAAACCTGTGAATTAGCTATAACTTAATAATACGTAGAGATTTGTGGCTGGAATTGAAATTCACAGAGTTCCAATAACGTATAAGTGATTCAAATAAAGGATATTTCTAAACTTAAAAACTTAAAATGTTGTTAAAGGGAGAACCAAAAGTTAGCACGAGTGCTAGTCGGGATTGGTTCTCCGAGTTTCTAAAACTGTATGCAAAGTCATATTAACACTTATTTTGTCTTAATATCATATTATTTGATCCTTATAATTCATCTCTGCTTAGGAGTTTAATTCTGAGATTTTGACGAAATGATGATCTTGTTTTTTCTTCTCTGATATTTATGGGCAAATTATTCCACAGCTTTGCTCCAATGAAAGAAATTGAAAAAGTCCCACGTGTCTTACTAAATTTAGGTAATCGTAGCATTAAATGTTCTCTCCCTCTTGTTCTATACATGTGATTCATTAAAACAAAGTAATCCATGAACGAATGTGGTAGATGTCCTTTCTGCAGATCATATTCAAATGTCGATACTGAATGCTCGAACAGATTATGCACATCTAATACCTGTAGACTACGAACAGTGCCTTTGAACTTGTTATAAATGGGGAAAATGTTATCACACGCATGGCCATTTTCTGTGCCAATAGTATGCAATTTAAATGACTTTTATAGCAACTTCCCCAAACTTCAATACCATAAAGTATGTGCGGCTGGATAAAGGATTTATACAAGAGCATGAGAATGTGCTTAGGCACATAGTACCTCAACTTACACAGCAGTCCAATCTTCCTCCGTATACACTTATCAACGTTCTGAATTTGCTCTTTTTCACATCAAAGTTTCATCAATTTGAATTCCTACGAAAGATGCTACACTGACTCTATCTATCACTGTATCACTGAGTTTTAAAATACCCCTAATTTCACATGATTGCAATTGTCCCTTAATGAGCATATAATTTGTTTTCTTTAAGTTTATTGTGAACTTGTTAACAAAACACCATTTTTGGACTTCCAAAAATTTTGACATTTACTTCATTCATATCTATTTCCTTCTGTCTTTTATCAAAAGTATGAAATAGGTTTGAATCATCAGCAAATAATCTAAATTCAAAATAATTAGTAAAAGATGGTAAATCATTAATATATAATAAAAACAAAGTGGGCCCGAGGACTGAACCTTGAGGGACACCATATGTTATCCTTCTCCTACTTGATATTATTTCCTTGTAGCATAAGACTTGCGATCGATTTGAAAGGTAACTTTGAAACCATTGCAATACTATGCCTCGTATACTGTAATTTTTTAACTTTCCTTATAGGATTTCGTGATCAATAGTATCGAATGCTTTCTTAAAATCTATAAAAATACCTAGCGTTGGTTTACCTTTATCCATTGATTTTGTAAGTGTATCTTCAAGATTTATTAATGATAACTTTGTACTATATCGCTTGCGAAAACCGTACTGATGTTCATA